GGATTTCTGGGTACTACAATGTCAATTTCTATGGCTACTTCTAAATTGTCTGAAATTTTTTTACTCGGAAAAGTATTCACTTTCTTCTCTACACGATAGGAAAAAATATTGAGATTTTTCATTATTACGATTAATTAATATTTACGAAGATTTTTGATATTATGTTAATTTATATATTATTTTGATAGTCCATATTATGACATACAGACTAATGCTTAGATGTTATGAAACGTAGATTATAGATAAAACACTTGATCAATAGATCGATGGATCATTACTTTCGAACTATAAGTGAAAGTGTACTATAATATATTTAACAATACTCGCGGATCAATCAATATTTAATCGAAATGATGTTTCGTAACTTCAAAATAGTTGTATACCCCTGCATCAAACCGACTACTGAAATATCCTGATGGATTCAAGTTGTTATATTCTTCGCTTCCTGTTCTCGCAAAAGGAGATTTATGTGCGCATTTTATGATTGACTTACTTGAGTATGGCATAGATAAATAGGCATTCCAATAGATGATTTACTACTATAAGTTATCAATCATTTGATAATTGCAAGTAGATAGCTTATTCAGGTGACTAGTCTTCACATAAAATTTATTTAAAATTATGATAAAAATATTTATTTCTTATCAAATAAATGAATTATTTTCAGGTCCTTTATTTTTTAAATTAAACGTAAAAAGTTTTTTATAATTATTTTCGAATATAAATCAGAACTGAAGACTCCTATAATCAATCACTCCTAGAACACAACTCCTGTTGTGTTGATTTGACTTATTGTTAATACTACTTAATAATGACAACCCGAACATTTGTCAAATCTGTTTGTTTCTATATCTTAATGATGCAGCAATGCCAGATTATCATGGAAAGATGTTGCTATCTACATTTCTAAGAAAATAGAGATGCGGAATCGAACCTGGGAGCTCTGATTCAGGTCCAGTCGTTCGAGCCACTTACCTACGATACGAGACCTACGCAAAAAGTACTTTCTTATTCTAAACAGATTTACCAATGGAAAACGAGAAAGGTAATTTTCAAACCGCAGGAACTTGCAAATATAAAAAATGTCACTCGATTCCAGTTTAAAGAGACGAGAAGAAGATATCTCTGGCTTTGACATACGACTATATAGGGACCAGCCCCCAATTCAAAAGATGCCAAACAAATTATTAAAAGAAATTGTAAATATCCCTAAAATATGTTCCAATTTGGTTGATAAATAAAGGCTCCGACATCAGCACAGTAAACGATGATTTACGTTTTTAAGCAAGTACAAAAGTGGCCAAGAAGACCACCCAAACTCACTTGTACTGCCAGAACAGTACCAGGGCTAGTTTCATAAAATAATGTTCATTTTACGTCCTGGATCAGTGCACTAAATCATGAAAAATGAACTCATTCAGGCAAGTACAAAAGCGTTTTCAAAGATCACCCAAACTAATTTGCTAGAAACTTCCAAAACAATACCTGGGCCAGATGAAAAACGATCATCTTATTATATCATCTTAATTAAATGTCAAGAATCAGATGATTTTCTATTATTAAAATCTTTATTTTTTTTTTTCAAAAGTTTTACTTATATTAGCTTATAAAAAACTTTGATGTCAGTCAAAAACCATCCAATTACTTTTTGATTTACCTATAAAAACTCTTTCAAAAAAAGGTATATGTTCTCGCATATTGATGATATAATGATAATCTCTTTCGCAAATTAGATCTTCATGTATTCTGTACATATAATTTGTTGTCTGACCTGGTATGAAAATATTTTATGTTAAATGATTTGTAAATATTGCACAAAATATAGAACCATACCAAATTGAATCATCTGATAAATAAGAAACAGCAGTCATACATTTTCGATCCGAAGTTTTGTATACAAAATACTAAACATATTTTTTTGTATAAGTTGTTCTTGTATACACCAAATTGTTGACACAGTCTTTAATGAATTATGGAGTTAATTTTTCGGCTGGTGAAAATATTTAGGTAAATCAATATTTCAATTACCTGGCCTTAATGTACTAAATGAAATCGCATTAAATATTAAGTGAAATTCTAATAAATTACTTGTTCCATGTATCGATAAAGATCTAGTCATTTGGCAATTCGTCATGACTTACAAAAGACAGCGTGACATATGAGGCAACTCATGAAAATAAAATTACTTTGCCATTGACAAATTATTTTCTCAGTAGCCCATTATGCGAAGAACGGAGAAAATACCAAACAAAGTGTTCCAAGTATATTTAATCAATATAATGGAAGTTAAGAATATTCACTGTAACAAAATGATGTAATGAAATCCATTCGATTTGAAACTAAATTGAATTGAAATATAACGAATTTTCTATACAGTAAGAAGATGCGGTTAAAATCGATATATGAATTTATATCGGCTATAACTTTCTAATGTTTCTTATTAAGTAAATTTATGTATCAGTTTTGTGGTCACAATAGATGTTTATAGAGATATTTTACCGCATATTGGCCTGTTATCGCATGCTCTGATTGAATCTTTCAATTGAAGGTAAATGATAAATTTACAATTGATAAGGAGCCACATGAAATCAGAACTTTCACATAAACTCTTTCAATAAAGTTGTGTTAATCAATTTGAAGTGTAATAGAATTGCGTATAAACGTAATATATGCGGTTTTGTCTCATTTCAATTGATTGTCAACAGTTATTCTAGTCTGTTCAAAATACTGAAATAAATAGTTAAAGACGTAATAAATTCCTGTTAGAATAGTGCAAGATGTTAAATAATTTTGTATTCAAATCTCAGTCAAAGAAGTTTACCACTGCGGAATGATTTTACTCAACAACATTTAGGTATTTTTGCCTTTCGGTCTTTTATTTTGCGATTTTATTAGATATTTACGTAAAGTCTATATTCGCATACGTTTTATTGCCAAAAATAAAATGGTCGACCATCGACATCTAAAAAAAAAGTGAAGATAGATTTTTTAACGCCAATATTTGAGAGAAGAGGGCAAAAGATGTATAAACAGTCATCACCTTGATTCTTACGACGTCGCTTTCAGGAGACGTTTAAAAACTCACTGTTGTTTAGTGTACGAGAACTTAATATAATTTCAAAGTAAACGTTATTCAAATGCTTCATAAGATATATTGTTATTTTTACGTTAGGTTCAATAGTTTTTTTTATGTAACCTCTATAAAAACTTAGACTCTTATCCTGGCAAAGATGTAGCACTACTAAATACTAAATAAAAAATTAAGTCAAAAAAGAAATTTTACTAGCAATAAATGAAATAAATAGTTATTTCAACTCTGTTGATGAATATTTCTGACAAATAACCAGATCAAGGTTATATACAAGGTTACCTCTGTGAAAACAAACCCCAAACATTTTATTTTGCATTAGTTGTATAATGGTGCTACTATTTCAGAAAATTGCATCATAATTAGAAATAAGACATTGGATCCGTTTTGTCCCTGGCTGTCCGATTTTACCCCGCTTATAATTTCTATAATTAAAAATCAACTGAAAATTTTACTGCATATAATGTTTAATAGTTGTTTGTTTCATATGTGTTATGTTTTGTGATGTAGTTCATTTGGTTTTGATTACTTAAAATCAAATTGGACCTTTGTGCCTTTATTCTCAGTTTTTTGAACAACAATCAAAACTTTAATTTTTTAAGCTGATGAAACTTTTCCTTTATGGTAATTTTTCCACCCAGCTGGTAACTCCATTGGTCTATTTTTAACTATTAGATTTTTGACTTTAGGATTTAACTAATGCTGATCCATTTGATGAAACAATACCCGTGTAAGCTTCTTTGATCTATATTTTCAAGTGAAAATTTGTATCACTAATAATGTTTTTTATATTATCACTTATATAATTATAGTGGACCATAAGCCACCATGTCAACTGACACAACCATGTCATTTTGAATTACCATGTCATTGAATTTTTGATTGATTTGATTTTTGAAGGACCAATTTGTTGTGAAACGCTTTAATTATAATCTTATGTGTTTATTTTAAATTAATTACAAAATTGTACTTGTATTTACAATATTTTTAATGTTTTAAGTATTGTATTGATTGACTTTATTTTATGATAAATTTTTGAATGATTTTAGTCTGTTTTTAATCCTAGTTTTTAATCATAAATCGGATGCTTTGATTTAACGTGAACATATGTTTTCTATATTAATATATAGCATGCTTTGATTTGGCGCGAACAATTGGGTTAATAAATGACTTAAACTTTCCATTAAACATTTATATGTTTATATAAATATGTGCTTATTTTGAAATGCAAAACTAGTAATGAAAATTATCATTTCCAAGTATTATTCCAAGTATATTAAACTATATTTTGTCGCCAATCTACTTACATGAATACTTTAATTTAGTCAGTGCCCCAAATTACTATAATATACTATAATTTAGTCAGTGCATTGACTACAAGTAAATTGATTAAAAATTATAATTTATTAAATAAGGGATAGTTCAAGTATCAAGCAAGCAGATTTATTACAATCTATCTATTAACCCCCCCATCCCTCTTGTCAGCAAAAGTAAACAATGCTCTTACCCCCTACCCCCAATGCTTACGTAAACATTTTGCAATTAATGTAAAAAAATAAAAATACTACCTATGACGTAATCATCATCCAGACTCCCCTGCCCTCGTGTCAACCCAAAATAAGTGAAATCAACCACCGACCCCCGCCCCCCTATAGCGCTTACGTAATACTTGAACGGCCCCTAAGTCTCAGCTAAAACCATACAGATTGCATTTTATAGAGTCGCTCAATTTATTGTAAAGTTCAATCAAATAATATATTTACAGAATAAACCTATAATTCTTCATTAGCAATCGTAATACCACAACGATTCAAATATTCAATTAAACCCTGCAACCTTAATAAAAAACCTTAACGATCCACTCAAAAACAATTCTAATAACACAACACGCATCAGAACTTAATTCCCTTACCTCGGGCACCATGATAAGACCCGGAGCTTTCGGAAACGTGTCTTGGATCGGCGTCGTGCCATTGGTCGCGCTCACAGCGCAATCCAAAGTGGTAGAATCGCCCGCAGTATCGGCCACTCGCACCCGAAAATCGTAATATCTTCCGCGTTCCAGACGCCGCCTGAGCACGACATTCGCCTGACAGACGGAGTTATAACGCGTACAAGGCAGCGAATCCACCGAGAATGCGGAGGATGATGCTCCTTCTGAAAATAGAAATAGAAATAGAAATGTATATATATATATCTATATATATATATATATATATATATGTATATACATATATATGTGGCAAGCATAGCTCACTTGGTAGCGTGTTCGATTCACACGACAGGGATCTTCGGATCAAATCCTGTCATTGACTTAGAATATAGGAAAAAAAATATGTATAGTTAATTTGAAATAAGATAAAAATTGTGTTGTTGAGTAGAATTTGAATAAAAATTAAGAAAATGGGAATAACAGAGTTCGAATAGCTGAATTGTATTAGAAGTAAGAAGAGAAATATTGGAACTGAGCTGAAATTAAAAGAAGAATGAAGAAAAAATGGAATGAGGCTAGAAGTTAAATAGAATTAGAAATTTGAAAAAGAACATAAATTGAAGAAAATAAGAAGAAGAAAAAATAAGAAGAATATAGAATAGGATACATATATAGTGAACTGTCCTAACAATTAGAATCATTAGAATCATTATATACAGGAGCCAGGGATAAGTAGTAACAGGCGATAATCACGAGAGGTTTTTAGGTGTAGTGGGGGGGGGTCTTTTGACAAAAAATCACGAAATATTACGTGGGAGAAGGGACGGATATAGTAAGATATCACGTGTATTTCTTTTTACCTTTTAATAATTTTTTCTCGTACCTAAAGATACACATGATATTTCGTGGGGGAGGGAGAAAAACTGGAATATCACCACGTATCATCAAGGGGGAGGCAGAGTCCAAAAATCCTTAAAAAATCGATCATGTGATTGATGGACGCCCCCTGCCCGCAGTAGTAAACAGAATAGGGCAGGTGTGTCATTTTTGACTGGTTATATACAATTGTACTATCATAAAATTTTGGTTTGCGTTATTATTATCAATTAATTTTAAATTTTATATATCTTAATTCGTTACAATTGTATCAATCTTTGCTAATGTGTAACAACTTTTATGATTAGTCATCATCCATCAATTTCTCATCATTTTAAAGTTAAATTAGGAATCTACAAAGAGTTCATGCGAAACAAAAGGATTTGGGTACATTTACATCATTTTACAACTCTTGCGAATTCTTGGCGAAACTTGTCAACACATTTAGTATATTTTTTTCAAAGAAGGGCCTCTCAAAGTTGATCGATTGTAAAAAACTTAAATTTATTTTAAAAAGCTTGAAAGCCCTAGAAATGTTACGTATTCACGGTTACGATTCAACAGTTTAAATGAATGAAATAAAAAAAAGTTAACCAAAATAACCGAAAAATGATCGTAACTTCACCAAAGCTCTAGGTCGCACTTAAAAGCTTATGATATCGAAACAAAGAAAGATATTTTTTTTCTAAATTTTTTTCAGGACAGTTAAGTCCATATATCACTTTGTTTCGATTTGACGTCAAGGTCTGTGACACTCTATATATTTTGATAACAATTTAAATTCATATTTTGATAACATTGTTTTGTGGCGGGAATAGCTCACTCAGTAGCGTTCTCGAAACACACGCTGGAGGAATTCGGTTCGAATCTCCATCAATACCAGAATTGAACATAAAAATTTAAGTAGATTAAGAATTGTTAATTTGTAGAATACAAGAAAAAATTGTATTAGAAGTAAGAAGAAAAAAAGAAGTTTATTTAGGAACATGAGAAAAACATATTGGGAAACAAAGAGAAGAATGAAAATCAGTTGAAAGGAAATTGAATGGAAGATTAGGATATAAAGAAAAATAGTATGTATGATATATGTATAAGAAATATATGTAAGGATTGTATAGAATATGAATGATGTAGGTGACTAAAAATGCTGTAAAGCGGAGGCTTATAAATTTTAAAAAAAATATTGTTTTGATAACATTGCCTTTATCATTAACATATTTCTTACTCGAAACCAAATTACCACGTATGTGTTTGACTAACATGAATTATCCTGAAGTGTTTTCTTGATTGCCATAATTTATTTAAGATAATTGTCATTAAGTGACATATTATGTACTATAAGTAATATCAATTATCATAATAAAAATGTCATATTTTTTTTCTTTCTTTTTTTTATTCATTTTATGTGGCTATAGATCTATCAATCATTAAGCAAATACCTTCAACATACGTGCTTCTGGTCGTTATTTTATAGAAAAAAATAAAAAATACATAAATTGAATATTATATTACCTAAGAGTTCGAAGTGAAGTGGATAATCAAATTCGTCATCTGATGCCCTCAAACGATAAATGACAGTGCCGACCGCTGTGTCCGAAGGTACAAGAACTGTCCGCATTCTGGTTGCCGGATCAAAAACTGGTGCGGCTGCCAGCGAGCGGCCTGCTTGTTCCACCAGGAGCAGCCATAGCAGCAGCCAGCCGCCGGAAAGCGATCGCGACATCTGAAAAAAATAAATATACATAAGTATTATCATTCAGAAACATTTCGGAATAGTCATTAATAAATCAAGATTAATATAGTCACTTATAGTTGAAATAGATTGAAATAGTTACGTAATATTTATTACAATTTCTATGCGAAAAAAATTTCAAGATGATTTTGCAAGACATTCCTTGCTTAAAATCTTAGTTCAAATATTTAGTATTTTTATAAAAATTAAATAATTTTGGCAAATTACATTTAAAGACGCCCGGCGCTATGTTTATTAAAAAAGTCAATAAATTACACTGCACACGAACAATCTATTACCTCGAAGGACCAGATTATAAAATAGCTATATCACACCTTTAATATAAGTTATTGTGAAAAAATAAGTAAATATCGTAATTAGTATATTTGCAAGATGTTTAAGGTTCAATTTTTTATAAAAAGAATTGTTTTAAAGGTTTAAATGTTTGTAATTTTATTTAACAAAAATATTTAGATAAAAAACTGCAATTGTTAGATTTTCTAGCGTACAAAGATTTTCTAGGGTACTACTATTGATAACTACCGCTTCTAAATTGGAAAATATTGTATAATAGCAAACCTAAACTGTTTAGTTTGTTGATAGCAAAGAACAAGATCAATCATATTAGACTATTATATTTTTTTTTTATTTATTGCTTGAACAGCAATCGAGAACTACTTTAACCTTACATGTGCTATAAGTTGTTTGTTGAAAATTTATAACCTAATGTTTCAAAAAAGGCAACCCATCGGTTCACCATTCCTCTTTGTGGAGTTGTTGTATTAGCTCTTACGCCTCATAGTTATTATATGATTAAATGCTACACCTAAACCTACTAAGGGCAATTTTCTCTTCAAAATTACATTGAGGTCTATGATCTTAAGTAGGAATTTGATATCAAAGCTGCGAACCCGGAACTAGATAAACGAGTATAAATGATGCTAGCCATTAGTATTATAAAATTAATAATCAATTATATTCTATTTAGTTTATTTTGCTATAGGTAGTTAAGTAAGTAATAAAACAATTACAGTAGAATCTCACTAATCCGACAATTAGAGAGACCGACACCTCCAATAATCTGACACCCTAGCGACTGAAGCGCCGAACAATTTTTTGGAAATTTTAAAGTTATTTCCAATGTCTTAATTTAAAAATTAAAAATTTTTCACTATGATCCAATAATCCAAACATTCCAGTAATCCGACATCTTTCGGTTTTCAATCGTGTCGTATTAGCAAGATTCTACTGTATATGTTTATGCAAAACCCACAATTAGGTAAAAAATAGACGTAAAAAAAGTGCGCTTAAGGTTCACAAGCGATTGAAATAAAACTTATTTGCTACTGTACAAGATGGCATTTAAGTAAAAATAAATACATTATATAACAATTTTGAATAATGTTTATTAGTAATATGGTAACACTCGTGATGCACATATTTATTAGTGTCAATCATTTTACACATTTATATATTGATAAATTATAAATTATATATTTAAAATATAATTGTTTTTAATTTAATTTTAATTTAATATATAATATAAATGTTTAATAAGTTTTATTATTTGCAAGGAACAGGGTAAAATATTATTCTGATTTAGGCATATCATACAAATCAAGATTTGTACTACGATGTAACTTTGAAATGTTTATATATATGCCGATTTCTTTGTTGATATCGGTAGGCATACAACGTTGATTCCGGTACGCATACAACGACAGATCTCTATTCACATACACGATGACTAATCACAATTGATTCCTCATCGATAGCGAATGACGAACAGTTCGGACGTAACGGACTTCCGTTGCATTAGTACGGATTTACATCCTAGTCGCGCCTAAAGAAGTTTTACTTCAAAAATCTATATCATTGCATTGAAAGTTAAAAAAATTTCAATATTGTGACGAAATTTGAAAATTAGATAAGAAAGTTCATGCAAACTATTAAAATCTCCCTAATAAAATATAAAAAATACACATATTAATAGTTCTGTACAAAAAGGGGAAAATCTGCATGGAAAGTGAAATAATTTGTTTGAAGTATAGAACTAAGTTTAAAAGTAAATCCAAAAATTAGACAAGAAAAGCCATCAAACCATTAAAACTTTCATAATAACTTATGAAATTTATTATCAGTATGTCAATGTTCATTTTCAACTTTTTTCTCTGTTACTCTGAAGCCTTTAGACTTGCATTTAAAGCTAATTGACACCTCGCAAAGTAAATATGAATCGAATGTTTTTTGATCATTCCAAATCGGGTGATGTATTTGAACATGAAAGTAATTTTCTTGAATATGTTTTTCGACCAGTTTGTCAATGTCGCGCGGTCGCATACAGTTTTATTGCTTTAATTGGCAATTTGATGTTCCTTCACAACAAATGTCATACAATCGAAGGAAATTGGCATCTCCGACATTTCTTGTTATTGAAAACATATCGAGATATTGGCGATTGGCTAACAAATGGAAACGGGTTCTTAATTCATCGCAAACAAGTAATGCTTCTTTAAAGGACTTACAGTCGTGAAATATTGAAGAGAAATTTGCAGGTAAATTTACGGCATCAAAACACATATAAACTACTAAATAGACATGCTATCATTGATCATGTCTTAAATAAATTTTACATATTTTTTATGTCTTGGAAAATTGTATACAGCATAATAATCTCTACATTAAGGCAATGTATACGTATTTATACGAACTATATTCATTTTTTTTAAGTTTTATTTTATTTTTTGTCAATATTTTAGTATTGTCGATTAAGTATTTTATAAAGTATTTAAAATTCTGAAATTTTTTGGAACCAAGGGCATTGATTGATCTGTAATATTACTGCTTCTATAACGTTTAATAAAAAAGATAAATGTTCTTATCATATCATACAAATAGTACTCTATATTATGCCACAAATACCACCTCTTATTTCTTAGTAACTATTTATCAATTCAAATAAATTCATCAAGTGAAAGTACAATGAAATCTTAAACATTTCTAAAATTAACTCCAAAAGTTTTAACCATGTACTGCCCTTCAGAAGAGTCTGATCGACCTGTAAGATTATTCAATAAGATTAGAAATGGAATCCTTGAGGAATGCAATGATATCTATTCGTTCAGAAGAAATTATTCAAGCTACGTATGTGAAATGCATGTACGCGTTTGCCTTAATGATACTAAGTAGAATTCTCAACTGATTACAGTTATTCTACAGATCTATTTAGAAAATCTCAATCAGATATAAGATTGCGAACCATAATTCTCAGATTATAAAATAAATGAAATAGAGATGTATTCTATTGGACGTAGAAAAGTCAACAGGTCATACTTACTCGTATAATTACACCATACCACCTATTGTTAAAAATATATATATATATATAAAGGGCCTAAAAATCTCTTTGGAGAGTTTCTAAAATTGGAGATATAGATGAATAGTAAAATACAAAAATTTCTTTTCTCTTTTATTAATAATCATCAGAGGATAAAAACATTCTATAAATTATTTTGATTAACATTATTTATATATAATAATATATAGTATTTACCCCAGTGGGTAATTACTCGATATTTGATATAACTCATTGGATCAAATTAAATACAAGAAATTGACAAAAATAAATATGAGAAAATGGTAAATAGTCAGCAAAAGAGAATTCTGAACTTAAATCTATAGTGCTGACAAAGTAGTTATAAATGCCTTCTATAAAATAGCAATATTATCAAGAACTCTGAAGAGTACCAAGATGTTCCAAAACTGGCACAAAAAATTAGATAATATTATAGACATCTCTCATTTTCAGCTATTATATTATTTAATCTTTTGAGATGTTTGTTCAGAAGCATCAAACTTGTAGACTTTGCAATAAAATGAACAATGAAAAATTACCGTTTTTTTAAGATTCGTTATAGTTAGGATATATAATAATCCAAGAAAACCGAATATAAATTTCAAATTCCTTTCGACGCATTTATATTTACCTTTGTCTTTATCTTAATTGTCTACCACTTGCAAAAGTGGTGTTGTTTGTACAAGAATCTTTATTGTAATGTTTTCTCTAGGATTATCTTGATGTATAATTATGCATTCGCAATATCCTCGATAATCGCTCGTGCGAGGTGCACTGTGAACTACAGTGTTCGAAAACGATTTCTGATAACGATATCAATTATAAAAATATTGTATTTTTGGACCTTTGGACCTAGCCCTGCTCTACATATACACTTTTTATTGAATTTACTTTAATTTATCGAATGTTACTTGAAACTTTTCAAAATGCAGATCAAAGAAGAAATACTCAATTCATTTTCTATCTCTCCTCGCAGAAATTTGAAAATTTTGTATAAGCTCAGTAGAATTATTTACAATTATACACAAAATCCAGAATTCAAAAAGAATCTGAAAAACTTGAAACGTAATCAATAAGTCGAAAGACCAAAAAAGACTTGGATTGGATTATATAGAGTGTGTAAAACTTCCAGTTTGATTGTATTGACAAAATATAGACAAACTAATAGGGTTTATTGTATTTATAATACCCCATTGTATATAGCATTCAAACAACACATCCTTATACACTTAAAGTATCAATATTTTTGATTCTCTAGAAATTGTTTAGAATATACCTTACTTAGCAAAACAACGTTTGTCGGGTCAGCTAGTATATATATATATATACGTTTCCTACAAATTTAATTTCTTTTATTATTAAAAATGTTTCTTTGTTTAAAGTATTCAACCCCTGTATCAGCAATAGTATTTACAGTATCGCCGTAGAAAATTATATGATAAGGAAGACCGTGTGTTGTGTGTACATAACTGAAAAGAATCTAGGTAACATTTTACAAAGTAGCTTGTTGTTGGGAAAAACTTAATATAATTAGATTTTAAATATAGACGATGGAAACGTTTGCTTTGAATGCCTACTTAATTTCATTGTTGTAAAAATGTTAGTAGCGTTTCATTAAAGAATTCAGCATGCATTGCCTATTACGAGCAAAAACAGGAAAATACACTACACTGTAGACGGAGCAGTTTCACTTATAAGTTTCTGGAATTTTATTCTGATAAAACAGATTCAAATGCAATATAAACATTATTTTTAAAACATCTTATATTATTAATAATAGAGATTAAGTAATAAATTTTATCCCAAGCTATAACATTTAGTCAGTCAATTTTTTTTGCACCAATGGAATCTGGAGGAACTTATATTTTCATTATCAGTCAGTGTGATTTTAGAGTAAAAAATTATATCATTGCTAATTGTAAGTAAAATTATCAATAAGCAAGTTTTTTTTACGTAGATTTAGTATTTACTACCATAAGAACTTTGAGTAGGTAAAACAGGGGATAATCAATTATAACTGATAGAGGTATGTATTTTTAAACAAAAACTAGAGGTGTATGGCAGCGTGCCTTAAGGTAAATTGCTGGAAAATTAAAAAGAAAATTGAAATTGAAAAAAAATTCTTTCCTCAAAAGCAATCATTTTGTCAAAACAAGCAGCATTTTTGAATGATTCAAATCGGATGCTTAGTTCACTCAAAAACTGCCATTTTTTGCACATTTAGCTCTATATCTCCGAAACGGCTGGACCTGCCTTTGTCAAAATCTAATCAAATTCAATTCATTTGGATAATTCAAATCGGTTGATCCGTTATCTTAAAAACTGCCATTTTAACACTTTTTGCTTCATATTTCTAAAGCTGCTCGATCTGTCTTCATCAAAAACTAATCAGAAGGTTTTCTCATCAATAGGAATCGAATGTTTTTGAACCATTCAAATCGGATAATCCGTACGCCCAAAATCGTCGACGAAAAATTGGCTTCACACATGCACATACACAAATACACATCAATTATTTCTGAGGCATGCCAAATGTTCAGAAACCTCTGAATCGTGAATATTTGCGAAAATTCTCATTTTCTATTTTTGGTCTATCACTATAACCTACCCTACGAGAAATTAATAATAACTCTTGATGCATGATATTATGGGTTAAAAAATGCACTATTGATATAATTATTGTGATACATACATGAATTTTAGTAAAATGGATTGAAATAACTCCAACATATAATCTCATTTTCAATAGTCATCTAAATTCAAATTCTAATTATACAATTGATGAAATGTAACTATTTATAACTATACCAAGTCGAAAGGCATCTAATTTTAGGCCAATCTCTAGGATTTTAATT